TATTCATAACATGAGGACATAGTGTGTTTACTATAACCACAATCATGAATGAACAGGAGGGGATGTAGATCACTTCCAATTCATTCATAATTGAGAATATAGTAAACATACTCTGTCCTCAATTATTTACAAACACTCAGCGATCACCGATTGCTGAGTGCTTGTACCTCATTCTGCTTCCTGACACTCTGTCACAGGCAGGGCAGCTGTCAGAAATTTTGTGGCCCCTTACACGGCTTTAGGCCTGGCCCCCCCCCCGCCGCTGGACACAGGCTTAGTGACGCGCTGGACGCAGGGCTTAGCGTTGCGCTGGACACAGGACCCACCTGAGTGACCTTGCAGAGCCCACCATAGATGCTGCACAGCCCATCTGAGACTGTCTATGGTGGGCTCTGAAGGGGTCTCAGGTGGGCTGGTCAGGGCTGCATCCCTCCCTCCTTTCCTTCCTACCTTCCTAGATCCTCTTACTTGCACACGTGGCCTCGTCTGCTGCCGGACAGAAGTGATGTCACTAACGTGAGGTCACTTCCGGCCGGTACGACATCAGACAGACAGCATCACTGATGGGGCCCCAGCTTGTCTCGAAGCCGCTGGAGCGGCAATGCTGGGGCCCTGTGCTGCTAGGGCCAGTCCTCCGCCTCCTCGCCCTTCACCGTCGGCCGATAGTCATGTAAGGGACCCGGGCAGGCCCCCCAGACTGCCGGGCCCCTTACATGAGTATCAGCCGTACCCCCCTAATGACTGCCCTGGTCACAGGAGGCTGAGCGAGCGGTGAGAGGAGGATAGCTCAATCTGACAGCTGACTCCTCCCCCGCACCGCCTCTTGTGACAACACTGGCTGTCTTCGCCCCCACACACCACTCTCCTCTGATCTGTCACAGCAGCGCTCAGCCGCCCGTGACAGTTTCTCTCCTCACCGCTGGGACACAGAGCAGAGCCCAGTGGCGAGGAAAGAAAGCAGGGATGTGCCACTATATCAGCAGAAAATGGCACTGTCGGCATTTTGCCAAAAGTGCCATTTTCGACCGATATGTTTCGGCGGCCAATATAATGGTGCATCCCTAGTTTAAGTGATAATTTTCAGAAAGACAAAGAAAGGCTGTTTGTATGATGTGATCACAGAACATTCTGAAAAAAATAACAAAATCGAATCAACCTTGCCAATGACAATTTAGTTATGGGAACTGTCATATGAATAAAATCAGCTCTATCATTACACAAGCAAAATGATATCCTCACAATTATCAAAAGACAAAAAGAGGCAAAGAGTGACAAAGCTATTTCTGTTCCAGTGCAATTCAGCTCTATGTTCTGGTCCGCCAAGGACACAGAGCGCTACTGTAATATGTTAACCCATCCTCTACGTGATGCTGCAGCTTCGCACTGGGATAGGATTTTTTTAGTAACCTTCCTGAAGCTGCTTTTTTCCAACTGTCAACGTTAGCAGAGGAAAGCCTACATTGAAATATTTCTTAAAGAACTCCGGGGGGGGGAAATTCTTACCCCTTGCAGTGGGGCTACCCCCACAGTGCAAGGATTAATTGCTTGTTTCTGTCTAGGTGCAAAAACAAAATGGTAATACTCACCTGAACCTTGGATCTGGCTGGCTGTGACAGCACTCCCTCCTGCCTGTCTCCTCCTCTACTGCAGCAATGGTATGTCCCTCGGCATCCTCACATCCAGGGACCAGTCTAAGAGACAGCCGGCTCAGTGGATCTGGCAAGTAGAACTTAACCGACACAAATTAGCACTTAACCCTTGCATTGAGGGGGTAGCCCCACTGCAAGTTAAGAGTTCTTCTTTAACAACATGACAGCACTCTACGTGCTACCTTACGTTTTCCGTAGCTAAATACATAGAAGGAAACTGGGGAAAATGAGACTGGATCCTATCAAGCAGCAGGGAAAGAGATGCAAAGCACACTGAGATTCCAGTAAGATGTTGAGTGATGGGCAGATAGGAGGCAGCACTCTCAAAGGGATTTTATTAAGTAAACTTTGATTGCATTTATAAAAACACCCCCCCCCA